CATCTCCCGTTCACGTCGCTGTTGCTGCGGGGGCAGGAGACAAAGAAATGTCAAGAAACATGCTTTCAATCTGATCAGTCTCATCAGTTGATGGATCCATGACAAAACAAACCAAAAAAAACATCATACCTCCTCCAGCCGCCTCCTCTGCTCCTTCTGTTGCTCAATGCGTTTCTGCCTCTCGGCCAGTAGTTGGCGCTTGTACTCCTCCTGCTCCCGGAGCTGCTGTTCCTGGAGGAGCTGCTGCCGGCGGAGGGCCTCTGATCGCTCCTTGTTCTCCTGCTGCAGGCGGATAAAGTCGCGGCGCAGGGTTGACTCACCTGGCACATTGACAATGGAGCTGGATGACGGGAGGAAATGTGACATAATGGTTAGATTTAGTTTAAGGCCTTCCAATGGGTAGCTGTAATTTTAAAAAGTGTTCACTATTAAACCATACCTGGGCTCTCCCTCCTGCTCTGGGGGATCCTCTTCCTCCTCCTCACTGCCACTGTACTCGTACTCTGTCTCATCTGCACAGGATAAAGATGGAATTAGAGCTCAAGGAGAACTTTTTCAGGTAGTCTGTGACAATAACTCAGCAAAGAGAAGCAAAGTAACCAGCTGACAAGACATACGCACCCTTCTCTCCTCTCTTCTTCTTGGTACGGTCGATGTGGTCCTTGAGCTGAATTCGGACTTGCCTCTCGTTGGGCTGGTCTCGGATGAAGGGGTGCTTCAGCAGCTGCTCAGTCGGGGGGCGCTGCGTGTAGTTCTTCACCAGACAGCCCTCGATGAAACTGAAAAACTTTTTGGACCTGCGGGGGTCGCAGAGGAAGGACAGAGTCAGCGGAGAGAAACAATGCATGACAGAGAGGGTGACATATAAAAAGAGACAGCGGGTGCCAGACAAATATTTCAGCCATGAAAGGACAGAGCACATCTGAGGATCCTAAGTAAAACAGACATTTCTCCAAACAAGCTCTGATTCCAAATTACCCATCAGTCTTAGCAACACTACCTCTCCGAATGTCCCTGGAACACTCACAGCAACAACAGCCGCTGGTTTCTCTGTGTTAATTGAGGTTTATGCATGTGGACAGGCAGCATTGAACCTTTCAACACATTTATACCGTGGAAACTCTGAAATATGGGGTGCGGTACAATGAAATTATCATCACCATTGCACCTGCTACCAATAAGGTGTGAGTTTATTTAACTTTCAATTTAACGATTCAAAATGAAACAAACAGCAAAACTATCTATTATCTAATGAGAAATATGATACATAATAAAGTAGAAGCCTATCCATAGCACAACTTCTGCTAAAATACAAACTAAGCTAAAAGAAAAAAAAAGTCAGACACTGGGAGTTTTTTCTGCAGTGCGTCCAGAGCAGCACTACAGAGTGTGCCAGGAGAGGCTGAGCCTGCCAGAGCAGGTGTACCACAGATGTTGAGCTCAGCAGCAAAGCACAGAGGAAAGGCCAAGCTCTGATTCAAGCCTCTGTAGCAGCCTGGACTGATGTCAGAGATAAAATCAAAATGCACTAGAGTACACAAAGCAGCCAAGTAGGAAATCTATACATAAAATAACTTATAAAACCTCATATCTGGATTTATAGGGGTGAAAAGAGGATTGGAAAGCATAGAAATGCTCACAAAGAACACATGCTTTATGTGTGCTACTCACCATTTTTTAGATTTGAGCCTGGGAGGAGGGTTTCTTGGAATAAGGAAGAGCGCACGCATTGGGTGCATGTCACAAAGTGCTGGAAGAAGACGCACACATACAGAACCATTAATAACATTTCAAGAGACTGAACCAACACAAACAAACTAATATTAAGACAAACTGGTACTCACGTGGTGCTCCTTCAGCCATTTCAATAGCTGTGATACCACAAGACCACAGATCACTCTGCAAGAAAAGATGACGCCCGTTAACCAAAACCACACGAGCACACATGTTCAGACAAATCAAGGTGTTTACAGGTACAATACACCTGTTCTACACAATCACACGATGTAGGTTTTCAGTGGTTGAGACTTCTGTGGAGGCTCTTACTCGGTAATCGTATGTGGCGTCTGGGTTCTCGTCGCAAGCAATGACCTCAGGGGCCATCCAATAAGGGGTCCCGATGAAGGTGTTTCTCCTCCCCACTGTCCGATCCAGCTGAGCACTCACGCCAAAGTCAACTAGGGAGGGTAATTGGAGTAACCACAGTCAATGAGGTGTTCAATTCAATTCAACTCAATTTTATTTGTATAGCGCCAATTCATAACAGAAGTTATCTCAGGACACTTTTCAAATAGAGCAGTTCTTAACCGAACTCCTTATATGTTGAGCATTCATGTTCTTCAACTCAAAATTAAATATGAATTTCAGGAGATCGTTTTATTGAAATGACAACAGTTCATGTTTAAAAGTTATCACCTATCTATATAGTAGCTTTCATTGTTAGTGGCGGAGTCCGCCATTCCGGTGCAGGATTTAAACAGTCTACCACTGGAAATGACGCATGCATCACCAAATCAACGCAGACTGAAATATTAAGAAGGCTTTTTAAATAATTGGTTTTTATTGCAACCATGATTTCTTTATCTAGAAAAGGGAAATCAAATTTTGAAAAGGGAGGTGTGCTAGGAAACTATAGATTTAGTATTTCTTTGTAGGAGTGTTTAAAAACCGGTTTGTGGAGGTTTGTGGAACAATAGACACATAAAATGACACATCCTTTCCATTGTGGAAATAGACTAAAGGCACCAACAAACTGTGCAACAACAACAATCATTGTATTTCACACTGAGTGAGACCTTCTCTAGTAAGTCCTAAGACACATCTTGCAGGACAAAATCATTTCAAGCCAGCTCAGCATGTTTATGAATGGGGAAACTCAGGACAACAGATATTTCTTTCTGGATTTTTCCATATCTTGTCATGAATATGCAGAAATGTTGAGGGGCTTTAAATGAGCAAGTATAGGAGTCTCACACTACAATCCAAGACGACCATAGATTTCACCACATTTCTGTTCATGTCGTTGCTAACTTATCACTTTTGGGAGCCCAATTTACACAGTGTAATCTGACAATAGATTCTCAGCAGCATGACAACAACAGTTGTCACTGCTCTGAGAAAAGTCAGCAAACACAAGGAAAAACCTGCGTTACCACTCACCTAGTTTGACTTCAGCATTCTCAGTCAACAGGACGTTCTGGCCCTTGATGTCACGGTGAATGACGTGGTGGGCATGAAGATGGGCCAGACCCTGAGGAGGAGAGACAAAGAGACACAGGACATTAGTGGCTGAGAGGAGAAGAGAGGAGAGGTGAGGAGAGGAGAGGAAAATTAGCTCACTCTGAGGATTTCTCTGGAGATGTAGGCGATCCAGTCTTCCTTCAGCTGGTTCCCCTTGGTGTTCTTTACCAGGTCTGTGATCGAACCAGCTCCGCAGAACTCCATCACCAACTGAAAACCAGGTACAGAATATGAAGCATAATGAGTCCATGATATCTGAGCAAGTATTAATAACTGTAATACAAGACCCTTGTAAACACTGCCCTTAGGATAACTGAAAAAGGAAATTTGGTGGGAGAAACAATCATTGCAGCTAAATATTTTCTTCCCTCTAAAATCCTTACTCATCCTTAATTACTTGAGTAGATTTGAGGACTTACCCATAGCTGGTCATCGTGTCCCGGGGGGCTCTTCTTAATGAAAGCACCGTAGTAGGTGGCTATGTTTCGGTGGTGGGAATACTTCTTCAGCATATTGATCTCCAGTTTAATTTCCTCCTCTTCATCCTAGGCACACAAATAAACAAATTCACAAACACACACGTTACAGAGGTATAAAAAGACGAGGGGGTGTTTATCCTTCCACTAGAAAATCTTTATGGTGGAAAACAATAATCACTGTGAAGGCATCGGACTTTAATCATCATTTGGCCTTGAGTGACATTTCATTTCCAAATCAATTTACTTCCATACTTAGGGTCATAGCAAGTGTCAAGCTATGTGACAACGCCCTTGTGTGGTCTCACTGAAGCCTGGCCAGGCCTTATTCATTGTGCCTCCGCTATCGTCCGTTTACTGGCAAATGATTCCTTTGTTTAGGGATTAATGATGCATGAGTGAGTCTCATTGTGAGTTGATGTGTACAGTAGCCATTATCGTAATCCCATGTAAAAAAAAAAAAACCCCACTAAATATACATCAGATCGATGGCAAATCCCTCACAGATATACATTAGTATCAGGCTGATATTATGCTGAATTGATTTTTCAAAGCTAGCAAGGAAGCTAAGAGTGCTGCTTTGAACATATACCTACAAAGACAACATACTGAGTGGTAATAAAACAGGAGGAAATGGGTGTCTTTAAAAATCAAATGCAACCTAAAAACCAGACGTGATAATCACACCAAAGATCCGGTAGATGCAGAGTACAATAGGGAAATCAAAGGGTTTATTGAGAGTTTAAAAAGCTAAATCAACTGCCAGATGTAGCAATGATGCAGTGTTTAGTCTTTGTTGGAAATTGCCTTTTGTGCAAGTAAAGGAAGCAAACCTGTCCAGTATCACCTCTTAATAAAAAGGTCACAACTAGCTGCAGAGCTAACTCCCTGCTTGCAACCAATAGCACCTTGACAATGATTAACAGTGACACACTAATTGAACACATGCAGCGAACAGCCCGCGAGTGGTCTGCTTTATAGAAAGTACAGTGGGGGGAGGGGGGCAGAAACCAAAAGGTGGGGCTGTTGCACATTATTATCACTGCAGACAACAACGTGTGGGTCTCTTTATTCTAACCATGATTTTATTTCAATCATCACCAGGCAGCACAGCACCTAAAGTAAGAGAAATGGGACGCTATGTGTGCACATTACTGCGCTGTGTGTGCCTCACCTATAGCAAAATGGCAGTTGGCTGGCTATGCAGGCAGCCATACTGCTGCTGCATGACTCGTTTGAGTTGACGTAAGCCTTTCTGTTGTGCGCACCCCCCCCCCC